ATTTCACCGGATTTGGGTAAAGCAGATTTGAAAGACATCGCTGAGGTTGTTACTAAAAAGAAATCGCAAATAGATGGTTTAATTGTATCGAACACTACAACAGACCGTAGTGATTTAAAAGAAACGACATTAGCTAAAGAAAATGGTGGTTTAAGTGGTGCACCATTACGTTCCAAATCCACTAAACTAATTGCAGAAATGTATCACCTTACAAATGGAAAAATTCCGATTATTGGTGTAGGCGGTATTGCCTCAGGGGATGATGCATTTGAAAAGTTGGAAGCTGGAGCATCATATTTGCAATTCTACACTGCTTTTATATACCATGGTCCACCAGTAGTATCACGCATAAAAAGTGAACTCTCAAATATTTTAAAAGAAAGAGGATATAATAATATTGAAGAAGTTGTTGGTAATAACTATAAAAAGTATCTAAATTAAAAATAAAATAACTACAATTAAAAATTATACATTTGAATTTATTAATTATTTCATAAATTTTAATTGTTAGCGGCTTGTATATTCAGTACCCGCCCTTCTAAAGTATGTGTATTTTGATTGGATGCACTATTAAAACCATCTCGAGTGCTAAACGTGACAAAGCCATAAGACTTTGAAAGTCCTTGTTGTTTATCAAAAACAACTTGCGCCGATGAAACGTGCCCAAATTTAGAGAAATATAACTGCAGCTCCTTGTTGCCAATAGTCCAAGGCAAATTGCCAACAAAAAGTTTATAAATGTTGCGTGTGGCACCAGACATTTTTTATTTCTTTAAATCTGTTCTCTTGTAATTTCTAATAGATGAATTGTATGCCCACCAGCAAATTCCAAAACGTCTATGCCGGAATACTTACCAATATCATCAATATTAACCTGTACAGCACAAAGGTTCCACTTTTTTAATAATGCTTCAATAGACCAATCTGTGCTTCGTTCTTGGTATGTGAATAGAAACTTTGCTTTTGGGTTTCGTTCCAGTAAAAATGATACGGTCACAATTATATCTTCAAACACTGTTGGATCATAAAAGCAATCAGCTGCTATTATAAAGTCCAAATTTTTTATTAGAAACACGCTACTTAAGAGAAGACCCCAACTTAATCCAATAACTTCTATATCTTGTCCTGGTAAGAGATTATTGGTTAGGCAAGATTTTTTTGTGTGTGCAAGTGACTTTGGTAATATGCAGTTGTCACTAAGAGTCACATGAGCACCACACTTTGCTGCTAGAATGCCTGGTAATGCGGTACCTGCACCTAACTCCAATATGTACTTTCCAGTAAGGGCTTGACGACGATCCCAAAGAAACCAAGCAAGTATAGATGCAGAAGGCCACGTGTAAAAGGAATAACCTCCTTGTAGTAACTGCAATATAACCAGAGTATTAGATAACCATAAAATTTTATGTTTATAATTTTACCTCAGGAATTTTTATTTCTAAATTATTTAGAATATCAGTAGTTCCTTCTTTAAGTTGTTCAACGCTCTCGCCGTTGTTTGAGCATGTGCTTATAGTAGAGAATGTAAATTTTCGTATGTGCTCTATTAAATCGCTGTTAACACTGCGCGGACACGGCGGTACGCTACTTGTTGCTGACGATGTCGAATTTGTTGTATTATCGTCACTGTCTTCATTTAATTGAAACCGCCCACTTGTCATAATAAAAATTTTTTTTTCTTTGTATTGCAAAATAAGTTATTAATTTAATAATAAAATAACTTGTTTTTGCATATTGAAGTTATATTAATTTATTATTCGCTTTTGTTAGATTTTTGTTTACATCTTTGTCAGTGTTGCCTAGCCATCAAAAGTACATAATCATTTACATGGGAATTAAATTAAGTTTGTACATATTTTGTTTAATAAAATATTTAACATATATTTATAACATATATATATAAAACATACATTCAATATATATAATTAATAAATTCACAGGCGCATTGTAGATTGATTAAGTCTACAATGTAATATATAGCAAACTAACCCAAACTACTTTCGCCGTGTGCGAGTTCCAGTAAATTGATAATAAATTGAGGGAAATAGTAAATTATGTTAGTATGGCAGCGAATGTTAGTATTTACCAGAATTTCGAGTAGGTAAATTAGATAAAAATTAAGTAAATTAGGTGTTACCATTGTGAAAATTTTAAAATATGTTTAATAAATAAATAAATAAATTTGAAAACTTTTAACCAAAAATAATAAATAAGTTCAATAAATAAATAAATAAATATTTACATAAGTTCAGTGCAAAAAATTCCAAGGAAATTTCAATTTTCTTTACCTCAATTTACTAGTACAGTACTAGTACATTGTAGCTGATACGATTTTAATAAATTTGTTTTATTATAATATCAGAGAGCGTCATCTACAATTTTATCTTAAGAATAATACCATAGAATATCGAAGAATGTAGTAAAGATTTAGTTTAGTTTTTTGTTTATAAACATTACATATATTCTACAATTGTTTCTTTGTGATATAAACTAAAATATTGTTACATTGTATTAATATTATATAATACCCTGATGACGACTATAGATTATAGTCCAAATATACTAGGAATAAAATCTTTTAAAAACAAAAAATTTTTTTAAAATATTATTATTTAACTATTAACCGATTAGCCCGTTAAAAAACAAAATTATTATTAAAAGTATTTGGTCATTAAATCAATAAATTATTGAATATTGATTTTCTTAATTATATGTATACCAGCTATATCAAGCATATTCAAGATGAAGTTCGACATAAAATATTTTTATATATATACATGGGCGTACACAGGTAGGGGAAGGGGGCCTCGCCTCCTACATTACAAAATGTTATTATTGTTTTAAATAAAAATTAATTACTGTTAACAAGAAAAGTTTAAAATTTGTCTTTTTTGTGATCAAAATCTAATTTTCAAGTTTTTAATGAGCTAGGGGTGAAATATACTAGCTAATATAAGCCAAAAAGAATAAAGGTGTAAAGAGGGGCTCCCTAATTTCGGCTCTGGGTACGCCCATGTATATACATTAAAAAAAACAAAAACATTCAATTGTTCATGTTATGTAGAGTGTCTCGGGTACGGCGTGAGTAAAATTTTTATTGTTTTTAATGAAATTATAAAATGGAGATTGAGAAAAAAACAATATGTCTGTTGAAATTCCGGCATGACAGCTGGCGTATTTGTGCCTCGGTACTAAAGCAAAGCGGTGTTGTTTGGTAATAAATATCTGAATATAATTATTATACTTTCCAATTATAAGGAAAGGCGTATAATTTTGTAATTACTGTTAACAATTATTATAAGATATTAGGTCTGTTCCACGAGCTACACATAGTAAACCATGAGTAAAACAGAAGTAAAGTACAAACTGAGAGCGTAACACAAATAAAGTGCCAGATTACGCTCTTTACACAAATTTTCATGGAACAGCTTTGTGTAAAGTCTGGTGAAAACAACAATTTTTTTTAAAACAAAACAGTAGAAATAGAAATTGAAAAATAACAGACAAACACATTTTGAAAACCAAAGAAACAAAACAACAAGCCAAATATTTTTAAATACTATTTAAAATTAATTTATTTAAAGTTAAATTTTGTTTTAATTCTCTGATATGCATTTTCGGCATAGCCCGAAAGGGTTAATTTTGCCGTGCTAGAGACGATTTACGTAACATGACCTGTAGACTTCTTATTGATATTATTGTTGAGTACACTATATCTCATTTTCGATTTATTACTCACTAATTGATTGTTGACTCTTGGCTTAATTCTCTTTACTGCTATTATTGACTTCTAACTTTTATCTAACTTATAATTGTTTTTCTAATACCGAAAATAGTTCGGTTTTTACAATTCATTTTCTTACATCCAATTATTTACATTATATAATTAAATTCTATTGGTTACACTATTTCTTACCTTCTATATGCTTACGACATGGATAAAACATGATTCTTAACAGTTAACATGCATATGGTAACCAACTGAGAGGACAAATCATATTGCATGCACAATTGCTTGCAATATGATCTTGTAAAACACTCGAAATTCGAGTTGAAAATTCAAATTGCCAAGCACATGCTGAAGTAATCACACTTCGCAAGCGATAAAATGCAATGACAAACAGAAGAGCCGAATTTTATTGTTTACTTTTTTTACTTGGGTCATAAATTATTCTTTTGAAGTGTTTTGGGTTAAAGTGTCAGATCACAATATCGCACACTGTGACTTGCGTGTGGTCATGCTTTGATATGACACTACATATGTTATGTGAACTTATTCCACAAATTTGTCGTCCAAAAGTTTTATATTACTTTGTATTAAACAAAATAAAAGACAAAACGCAGCATTATATTTTTTGTTTAAGAATCTATCCTACACACAAAATAACGCTAGCTGTTTACACACTTCTGAGTGCACCAAAACGAACTCACTGTTTATGCTGATTCAGCTATGACCAATAAAGTCAAGTTGAACATAGCATTCTTTTTTTAGTTGATGAATAATGTTGCACTTATGATTCCTCTTATAGAAATCAACTTACATACGACAAATACCACCACACTTATTACAAGAATGCAAATATCAGCATAACTGGAGTGGTTTGATTATCTTTTGCTGGACATTTTCGGTTTAGTACTAGTCAAGCTAACAAACAAACTGGTCGTAGTTCTCTATACATAATAGGTATATATTATACAAAATAATATTATTTTTTGAATCGATTTTGAATAAGATCTGCGCACGTAAATGTTGTATTGTTGACTAAAATATATTTAACACTTCTTAAATTTTCATGAAAGACAAATTAATTTAATATATCAACATTACTATTTTGTGTCGAGAATTAAATGAATACAAATTAATTTTACTTTTATGACCGTTTACGAATTCGAGTAAATTGAGGGAAATAGTAAATTATGTCGGTATGGCAGCAAATGTTGGTATTTACTAGAATTTCAAGTAGGGTAAATTAGATAAAAATTAGGTATTACCATTGTGAAAATTTTAAAATAAGTTTAATAAATAAATTTGAAAACTTTTAACAAAACATAATAAATAAGTGCAATACATAAATAAATATCTCCATTTAAATATCCATTTACTCGAACTCGCATACGACCTAAATAAATAAATAAATTTGAAAACTTTTAACCAAATATAATAAATAAGTGCAATAAATAAATATTGCATTTTAGCAGTGCAAAAATAACTCAACACGGCCTATTTACATGATTTTAAGAACAATATTTTTAGCACCAAATATATGCACATTTTTGAATTTAAAAAAATAAATGCATTTATACAAATAAATTCGAGTGTCACTACAAATAAAATCAACTCTAGATTTCGTAAGATGTCAAAATTCTTATTAAAACAAAAAATATATGTGCAAGCATTCTTTGCCCAACATATTAATAACATTGTTTTTGTATAGATGCCGTTTCTTTTAATTAGCAACAACTGATGTTGGAGCTTTAAAATGGATGAAATAAACGATTTCTTCAACTTTAGCAAACCTTTAAAGCGGGTGGGAACTTCTCACCATGGTGCTTATCGTGATAATTCCAGAACAAGCGCAAGTTTCAAAAATATAAAGGTAAAAGTTGAACGTGAAAAAGAAGTGCAAGAATATGATAACACATTAAAGAGACGCCAGGAGACACTAATGAACAAAGTAAATATTCACATATATATATACATATATATTTAATATATTTAACAAAATAACTTAAGCTAAATAATGATACGGACGATGATGACATGCCAAGCTGTTCGAAAATGAATAGCACTTTAAATGATATAAGTGATGACGAGGACGTCGATATGGATGTCAAGCCTCAAATAGATGACATTTATGATAAATATAACTTTCTACGTGATCATAACAAAAGACTTCCAATTCACGATAACAAAGAAGTTATAATTGCAAAGATTCGTAAACATCCCGTTGTTATTCTTCAAGGCGAGACTGGCTGCGGTAAAACTACACAAGTAAGTAATTGAAACTATTTTTAATTATTTCATAGATTTTATTTTTTTCAAAGTGTTCCCAAAATATAATATTATTATTGTTGCAAAATTTTCAAAATATAAACTCATGAAGTAATATTTTCGTGCTTAGCTTAAATAATAAAATATTTGAAATACTATATTCATTATTCGTATATTCATCATTCATTATATGTTATATGTTTTGAAGTTTAATAATTTCTCTCATTCAATTTCATCGTTAAGGTCTGCTGATAACGGATTTGTCATAATTTGACGTACATTTGTTCTGCCCTTATAGTTACCGGCACGTTTGCCTGTTGTATCGGCTTCTGACAGTATCGGACTGGTTATTTTTTTATGAGCTTTTCTCTTTAAAGCATTCCTTGAATTTGGAATCACTTTAGTATTGGTGGTGTTAGTACTATCAGTTTCATTAGATTCAAACATTTTAGACATATCTTCACACACTTCGTTTAATTCCTTAATAGCTTGTGTCGGCGGCAAAGTTAATTTATTTAATTTATAATTTTGAACTAGATCGCTTTTTACATTATTATATATCTGTTCCACTTTACTCAGTGGTACTGTAACATTTGTATTTAATATTACATCCTTGAACTCACATTTCAATGAACTAGCTCGTTTCAGTTGTCCATTGGTTGTGTTTGTACAATCAATATGATCATAATTGACAAGATCTTCTAGGCCACTTAAAAAGTCAGTGGCACAAAATCTAAATGCATTGCACTTCACCATTTTCCAAAATACATATTCTACTTCATTACGAACTGGAGTCTCTGTTATAGCATCGATAAACATCTTAATTGTTGTAAATGTTTCTATACTTAATTGAATTTTAACATATTCCTTAGTAGGCTGTTTAAAATATACTGCATACATCAAAAAGAGCGCTCCTACACGTTGCTTTTGAAATTTTTTTTCATCTGAAGTCCATCTCTCTTCACCACAAATGCATCGTCTTGTAAACTGCAGAATTGCTGTTGTTGTTTGTAATAATTCAGTTGTTGACGTTTGACTGTAGTATATATTATAGAACTTCAATTTAAGCCATTCTTTACTAAAGCCTGTAAACGAGTCATCATCGTTATTAACGAATTGATCAATAACACTTCTGCAATCTTGATAAATTCCAGCTTCCATACTTAATGAAAAAAGTATTTATTGTGTTTTGTTTTATTTTGCTGCATCTTTTGGCAAGTGTCAATAATAACAAAAAAAACAAAATAAGGGTTGTAACGTCATTATAAAATAAAAAAGTAGTATAATAGTACTATTAAATCTGTTCCCATAGGTACTTGTAACTTTTCACTTCAGTTTTGCCTCTTTTGTTCCCGTAATTAAAAGCTAATTAAATTATTAATAGCGAATTTTGATTTTGTAATATACAAAATTTACTTGAATTTTAATTAAAAAATTTCTTCAAGTAAAGGCGAAAAACAACTGATTACTGTTAGTATTAGTATTATAAATATTAATATAATAGTTAAATAACATTTTTAATGTTATAATGAAATTTGTATACTAAGGTCGTGTGCGAGTTAGGCGAAGTTGCGTTCTAAATGAGGGAAATACTAAGTTGTGCCGATAATGTAGTGATGTGTCGATACGTGTTGATAAATGGCTAAATGTGTGCAGTGCAAAAAATCCCAAAAAATCTCCCATTTGGTTTAGCATCAATTTAGCCTAACTCGCACACGTCCTAAATCAAATTCAAATTTAATTCAATTCAAATAATTAATTCAAATTTAATTTAATTCAAAAATTTAATTTAATTTGAAATTGAAATTCAATAATTTAAGTGAACACATTTCTATTTAAGTGGAAAATCAGTTAAAGTGTCATTTTTTTTTGTTTCGTTGCGAAAAATAATATAAATATAGGCCGTGTGCGAGTTCGAGTAAATTGAGGTAAAGTAAATTGAGATTTCCTCGGGATTTTTTGCACTGCACTTATGTAAATATTTATTTATTGTACTTAATTATTATTTTTTGTTAAAAGTTTTCAAATTTACTTATTTATTTATTAAACATATTTTAAAATTTTCACAATGGTAATACCTAATTTTTATCTAATTTACCCTACTTGAAATTCTGGTAAATACCAACATTCGCTGCCATGCCGACATAATTTACTATTTCCTTCAATTTACCATCAATTAACTCGAACTAGCACAAGGCCATTGTAAAATTTATATACAGCAACCAATTTTAGCCAAAATACAATTACTTTAACAATAAGAAGTGAATAGAATATCTAAACCAAGTCTGCTGCTATTCAAATTATGTTCTACTCTTCAATATCACACCAAACTTTTAAAGAAGTTATTTAGTTTGTGCTAGTTTTTAAATATATAAATATACAGTCTAAACGGTATTGAAACAAATAATAACTTTTTCACAAACTGTAAAATATAGATGAAAAAAAAACCATTGTTATAATTAAGATTAAATTTAATAAAAAAAAATGTCAAATTAAAAATGGTGATATTGCCAATCAAACAAAACGATCTGCAGGAATGAAAACGTATGATTTTCTAGATTTATATTTCGACTATCTTCAATAGTCATTTCCAGGGAAACTCCCTGAAGAAACTCTTTAAAGATGACAGGGAGATGACGATATGTCGGAAAAATATTTTAATATAATATAAATTGTTTTTAAATATAAATAATAAATTACAATTTTTTTATTTCTATTTAAATGACCAATTAACCCGTTTTTTAATTATTATATAATATTTTTGGTCACAAATAAAAGAATTAAATTCTTTACAATATTTTCTGATATTTATTATCAAATAAATTTCGAAACGTCGGTGATAGTTATATAGACCACTATATAATAATAAAAACTGATCTATAAGTTTTTATTATTTAAATTTTAAATTTTAAAAAATTTAATTTAACAACTACTCTACATTCAAAATAACATTTCATCAATTTCTTTATTTACAGGTTCCGCAATATATACTGGATGATGCATTTACTCGTAGGCAATTTTGTTCAATTGCTTGCACCCAGCCTAGAAGGATTGCAGCATTATCCATTGCTCGTCGAGTTTCAAGTGAACGAAATTTGGAACTTGGCTCCTTAGTGGGCTATCAGGTAATATCTTACTTTTCTTTTTTCTGCATTAATATTAATCCTTACCTTAATCTTTAACTATGTTAGATTGCATTGCACCAAACCACTTCTGCGGATACACGCATACTGTTTTGTACTACGGGCGTATTGTTGCAAAAAATTATTACAGCAAAATCATTATGTGCATTCACTCACATTTTACTTGATGAAGTTCATGAACGTGACCAAGAAATGGATTTTTTACTCATAGTCATAAGGCATCATTTGGCAACAACATCAAAACATGTGAAGATTGTTATGATGTCTGCTACTATTGATACGTCAAAAGTAATAATTCTGCAAAAATTATAAATGAGTCGCTTTTTAAAAGATTTTATTTCTAGTTTGCTGAATATTTTAAAATACGCAATGTTGCTGCACCAATAGTTCGTGTCGATACTCGGCGTTTGTACAGCGTGAAAGAACACTATTTGGATGATTTGGCTCGCATAAACATTAATGTATATTTATTAATAATAAAAAATATAAATTAATAATTCATGTTTCCAAAAATGTATTTATAGCATGTTGAACCTGAAGAGGGTAAACCAAACATAAGCCCAGAATTGTATACCGTAACATTAAAGTTGGTTATTGTTATTGATAACATAGAAAAGGAAGAAGCTATGTTTTCTCTTGAACCATCTTCTGATCAAAGTTCTATTTTAATATTTTTACCGGGATTGAATGAAATTGACTTGATGCTTGTTAAATTACAAAGATTAAACAACGAAACGTAAATATATAAAATACAATTAAGTTTTAAAATTTTTTATTATATATACTGCTCATATTTTTAGTAATGTAAAGCTGATGCCTATACGTTTACATTCCTTAATATCAACTGAAGAACAAAATAAGATTTTTACCTCCGTTCCAGGATTTCGAAAGGTTATTTTGGCCACAAATATTGCAGAAAGTTCTATTACTGTACCGGATGTAAAATATGGTATGTTACATACATATATTTAATAAATATTTTCGACTTATAAAATTATTAACTGATTAATTAATGCCGTAGAATATTATTACAATATTACTTTGAAACACCTTCGCATTACTGTATCAGTGTAGTTTACTATATATGCAGATATACAGACTTTTTCATCAAATTTTTTCCATTATTTTATTATTCATAAATATTATTTTTTATATTTCTAAATATCTTCATAAAATGTTCAACATGATGAGGGTAAACTTAACATAAGCCAAGAATTGTATAACTCTTGTTTATTGGGATTGATAATATAGAATAAGAATAAAATTTATTCAATATTACATATCTTATTTCAAACCCTTGGATTTACATTTTTGGTAAGACTTTATATGCTTATAATTTCAATATTAAATGAGTTTACGTTCCAGAGTACACTATATATAAAATTGTAAATATCAATGACAAAAAATTTGAATTAAAAAATTTATAGTTTGATTAACTGCATCTACATCGATAGCTTTTGCAGTGAAACGAACATATGTGAGGTCGAATACAAGTGTAAACTAAAAGCCCTCCACAGATGTAATGTACTTTTCAAGGCTACAGTTGCATAGCAATATTGCTTTTGATAGGCCATCGCTTAATTTGTCCCAAGATGAACGACGTCTTTTTCGTGCCGTAAGTACTGTCCTAGCGCAATTGAGGTCAGTATATGGTTACGAAATTAATCTCATTACAATATATCTATATTTAGTAGTAGAAGTCAGGTGTTATATGGGATTCGGTTTTTGTTTAGTGATTAGTGGGTTACTTTCTGTTAAAACCAGGGAATCTTTATAACCGGTTTATGTATGTATCAGCATTTGATGTTGTGATCAATATGATCTTCAATTTGCAAGTTCTGGATCTGCTGGAAGTGCAAAAGGGAAGAAGATATTCATATTGAGGAAAATAGTAGCATATATGTTGTGATAGAATAACTAAGTAACATTTTTTGAAATCTAGTTGGGTTACATAAATTAAAAAAAGATAGATTAATTACCCTAAAACTGTGAAATTTATTGTTTTTGTTGTTGTAAGTCTGTTCATATTCCTATCAGTCCTCAGTTAACCTAGCAAATAAAAAAACATGAATAATCTATAAGAGCAATATAAGTATAGAAAGATATACATAAAGTACAATAAGTAGATAGTAAATAGTATGAAATGATGATGTGAATATGAATAATAAATATTTCTGAATATAATTTGAATGGTTTAAGATTGGTTTGGAAAGAAGTATAAATGAATTTTTGACACAGTAAAACAAGTGTTATCCCATGTTACCGTTTTCTTCCTGAGAAATGGAGGAATACGTGTTGAATACTGAATTGTCATAAATGCTCCTTTCAGGTGCAGTTACTCCATGACTGCTGCTGCTTGGTTGTTAATGGAGTATTAAGCAAAATTGTTAATCATATAAAAAGCAAAGTAACAGAACACGCTATTCTGCAGCGATAAGCTTCTCATCATACAAAGAAAAAGAAATATTGTTGATTACTAACATTCTGTGTGTTACGTAGCCCAGTTTTAATGTTCCTACAATGTTGGACCCACTATAATATTTTTCAAAATTTTCCAAATTCAGCATTATTTATTTCAAGCATGTTTAATATAAAAAGATAAACGCTATTTATAAAAATCCGTGTTTTCTGTTTCGTGTAGAGAGTGTGAGCATGCTTCTAGAGTTTTAACTAGAGTTTTATTTTTTTTACTTTGTTTACAATATTTTTCAATAAGATATGTCAATTCTTTTGAATTATTTATCTTTATGATTATTATACTCTGGATTGATTTTTCATATTTGCGAAAAGTGGAAATTCGACAGAAGTGATGGTAACGAAACTTCATGGCTGGTGAAGTGTTGTTTCGGTATTTAGATTCAGTCACATGAAATAATTTTCTCCAAAACCGTTTTCATAAACGTTTTCGATAAGGATTACAAAAAATTGAATTTTTGTTGATATAATTGTATGTAGCTTAATTAATTTATTCATTTATTAATTAATTTAACGTATTTACAAAATCTAAACCGATCAATTTTATTTTAACAAAGAATATCTATACTCATTCATATTTTATGAAAATATAAATATATTTTTTTTCTTACAGTTATTGATTTTTGTTTGACGAAGCACATGGTAGTAGACACCTCTACAAATTTTAGTTCACTGAAAATGCAATGGGCATCCAAAGCGAACTGTAAACAAAGAGCTGGTCGCGCAGGCCGTTTATCTTCTGGACGTGTATACCGTATGGTGTCAAAATATTTTTATACTGTATGTGTGTCAATTGAAATTCACTTTAGTATACTTAGTACTAATATGTACATTTTTTACAGAATTACCTATATGAGTACAGTGAACCTGAAATGCTACGTTGTCCTCTGGAAACAGTTATTCTAAAAGCTAAATTATTAGAATTAGGACCACCAACAGATGTTTTAAGTCTGGCAATGGATCCACCCAATCTTTTAGATGTGACAAACACAATTTTAACCTTAAAAGAAATAGGTGCTCTATACACGCATGTAAATGGACAGTATAAAGTACAAGATGGTGATTTGACATTTATTGGTCGAATAATGGCTGCTTTGCCTATAGATGTGCATCTTTCACGTTTAGTTGTATTAGGTTACATGTTCAGCGTACTAGAGGATACTATTATTATGGGTAACTAAAATAAATTTTTGCTAATGATGTGGAGAATTCATGATTTATTTTAATCTTCTTTAAAGCTGCTGCATTAAGTGTTCGGTCCATTTTTAAATATCCTATTAGACAAAAAGAAAAAGAGGCTGAATCTCATATACGCAAACTTCTTTGGGCAGATGGTACTGGTTCTGATTTGATCGCTATTTGTAGAGCTTATAAGGTATAAAAAATTTTTAAAATCTACATAACTGTGTAAATAAACCCTTACTGTAAAAAATGTGATGTTACTGCTCTTCTCAATATAAAATACAAATTTTTTACTAGTTTAATAACAGTTCAATCAAGCACGGAAACTAAGCTCTTCCTTTCTTATCTATACGTGAGAAAAAGAGAGAAATAGTGACGATTGCTATTGATAAAACTGATACTCTTCTGATGAAATTTTTTTTTGCTGAAGTAGAATATAGAAAACTGCTCTCAGTGTTTTCCAGTCCCGCAAGAATTACTGCATTGTGACCTTCAAATATTATTGGTTGACCAAATAATATCAAATAATAATGATTAAATAAACAAAAGTATTCTACATAAAGTCCTAACCCAATTTCTTAAACTGCTGATTTATGAACATTTTCTGCTGGAACATTGTCTTTAATTTTTATGACAGATACTAGCTAACATATCGTTAATTTACTGAATCTTACAGTCAAGTTAACATAGTTCATTATTCATTTAAAAGCTATAATCATCATACAACATTTCAATCTAATTGATATTACAAGTTACTTCAATATAATTAGAGATACTAGAGAGAAACCAGACCCTTTTAAAGGTGCACTCATGAGAACTATATTTTCTGACTATTACACAGAAAATTCCTTCCGATGTTCGTAGTAGATTTCACAAATAACTTTGTTAGAACTGTGTCGTTAAACTAAAACTTACTGAATGGAAATCTTCCCTATAGAAAACTCGATCATTTAAGATGAACATCCTTAATTGTTCATGTAAGTCGGAGTTCTTAAATTATGTAGTGTATGCCAAAACTATATATCATCTATATTTAATGTCCAAACTGGATTAGAAATATGAATTTATAATTATACAGCGAGTGTTGGTTTTCGAACAGTAGTGAACTACAAGAAAAAAAAATTTATTTTTATATTATTTTAATTAATTGAATTTTTGGCTGACCATACAGCTGTTTCGAGTATTGCCAAATACCTATCATCAATAGTCTTGCAAGTAATTCTCGTGCCCTGTCAAATTTATAGCTCAGAGTCAGTGTTCCTTAACCAACTGACCCAATGCGGTACTTGTCTTTTATGTACGCACATTTTTCTGGAGTTTTGTTAATTTACTGTGAAAGTTTTATTAACAAATTCACTTGCTGTGTTTATATTAGAACGAAGTCATAAACCAGCTGTAGAATAATTGAATTATTTAGTTATATTTATATTTTTAATTGTTAAATTTCAATTCTATTCTGTTTGTAGAGGCATTATTTGTTGCATGATTTATATATTCTTTCTTATGTGTAGGACCTAATCTAGGAACGTAATACAGAGAAAGGCATGCTTATGTTACTCTACGAGTCGCACGGGCGAATTACGATATTTATTTATGAACTCTCAAACATTTTTATTGTTACAGTGTTGGCTAGGAAATCGTGAGCAACATTCAGTAATGGAAGAAAGTGAATCTATCTGGGCAAGACGCTTTTATATAGACTTGCGTTCACTGAAGGAAATGTATTTATTAGTCCAAGAAATAAAAGAACGTTTAGAAGCTGTAGGCATAAAAGAGCAAAGCTCATACCAACGTGTTTTTTGGTTTGATCGAGAAAAAAATATTATATTAAAAGTTGTGATTGCTGGTGCGTTTTATCCAAATTATTTTATACACTCTAAAGTAAATGATATTGACCATGATCGTGGTATAAACCACATTTTGAATGGAAATGACGCACTCAGTACTGTATATTTCACAAAGTTCGATTCATTTCGTATTGGACAACTATATATTCGTTCGATTAAATCACTTTTTAAGGGTGTACTTATTTCACCAAAAAATATTCAAATACGTTTTCAACCTGGATCTCAGCGAGTTTTTGCGACATTTGTTGATAACGACGAAGATGAAAAAGACGGAAATCGTCTCACAGTTCCCGGTATTATACGCCCGGAAATTTTCAAAGCATTATTATTACGCAGCATGAAGTTACAGTGTACGATCCCAGTACTTGAATCTAAGTATGAAGGCAAATATGCTGAAGAGCGAAATCTCGGTGTAATGAACTGTGGTCAATGGGTGTCAAACAAATCAAATATATTAAATCCTGATTTAATGGTTTTACCAACTCTTTTTGTAGAAAACGTAAGAGGTTATATAACACACGTGAGTAATTATATTAGAATATTAATATTATTTAAACATTATATCTATAACATTTTATAAAAAAAATTTTAGGTTGAAAGCTGTACTAAATTTTTTTTTCAACCATTATCTGAAATGGAACGTTTACGTGAAATTAGACTTATATTAAACGATAGTGATGAGAGTAAAACAATTCGTCGTTATGAATATCCGTCTAATATTTCAATTGGTATGCATTTATCTGCACCTTTTGATGGTGAAAACCAACGTGCTAAAGTGCTAAGTGCTATATGTTCGACCCGACGACATGTTCAATTTAAAGTGAGTTATTTTAGAATTGTGTTTAGTCATCATTATGTAACGTAACGTAACGTAAATTTTAAGGTATTGTTTATTGATTATGGTGTTGAAAAAGTGGTGGAGTTTGAAACTTTACGTCCATACCCACATCGTTATATGTCAGTTCTAAATATACCCCCGCGAGTATTCGAGTGCCGTTTAGCACATATTCAACCAAGTGAATTACATAATAATAACAACAGCTGGGCAGATGGAGCTAATGATATCCTAAAAGAAATTTCCAATTCCGGTATAGTTAGCATAAAGATTTTTTCACTTGTAGATAAACTGGCAAACGTCGAGATACATAGTGATAATGGTGGATTACATGAGATTTTAGTCCACAAAGAATTAGCACGAAAATCAGAGGAAAGTTATGCGTCAAAGGTATATTTTTGAATTGCATTTGATGAAACTTTACTTAAAATTGTTTAAAAAATATTTCAGATGGATCATGATACTCGCCGTCGTAAGCAAGCTGTTTCTAGATGTTTAAGTGAGGACGATATCGCAAAGGAAAATTTAGATTATCTAAATTCAATACAATTAGATCTTGATGTAGAGGTTGATCCTCCACCAGCAGATATATGCACCAAAACAGTTACATTAAAAGGTCCATTTAGTCCACTGGAAGTGAAAGTTTTTAGTGCAACACGCGCTGGTGCTTGGAAAAATGTATTAATTGAACGAGACTCAATTAATAATATATTACTTGATACCGACCCTTACGATTTACATGAACGTCTAGTAGTTGCTGCGTCTGTCAGTGAAAATCAAAATGGAGATTCACTTACAGCACGATGTACAACAATAATGCCAAATATACATGGATTTTCAGCCTTAATGACTCTGCTTTTTTGTCCGCGTGTTCAAATTAAGTGCAATAAACAACGCACAAAATTTGTATCTATATTAGCTGGGTTAGGGTTCGACGAAGAAACTCAGGAACCATTATATGAAGAACACGATATCGTATTAAATTTAGATGTGGACTTATTACCTGCTGATATAGAACTGGTACAAAAGCTGTTTTCATTGTTTATTGATAAAATTATCATATTTATATTTATTATTATATAATAAAATTGTTTAATTTCAACGATTTGAATATTTTACATTTTATTAGATAAATCAAATACGTTACTGTATGGACTCGATCATTTACACAGATCCTGATGATTCGAAATTAAGTGTGCCAATAAAACAACGAGAAGATCTGTCAGCCAAAATTAAAAGTCTTTTGATAAGGTAATTTGTTTTTAATTGCTTAAAATGCATAAATTTTTGTTTTATAAATTATTTTACAGGCTTCTAAATAAGAATCGAGATTATATAGAAACACAGAAAAATTTTAGTGACAATGAGTGGCAAAAATTTGACGATGCAGATTTATTATCTGTTAATGATGTCTATGGTCATCGCACAATTTTCCCAATGCATAGTATACTGAATTTATGTACGGAGAAATTTGAATCAATGCATGCTTTGGGTCTTCATTGTAAAGAATTGTATGAGCAAAGCAACTTGTAAGTAATAAGATGTGGGAAAAAGTACTGTAAGTTAATTTCTTTAATATATTTACAGCGGTGGTTACATAAATCCAATCACATGTCGACTATGTAATCAGTTATTGGAGAATATAAATCAATTGCGTTTGCATCTACTATCCCAGTTACATCTTGACCGCGAGAAGCAAATTAACTTCAAAATGCATTAAACACATAATTAAAATTTATCTTAATCATTTTTTTTAATCATTCAAAGAATTTAAATAAGAAAAATTTTTTTTAAGAAGTGAATATATCTCAATTTTTTTAAACTTCAAGCAAATTAATTTTAAAATTTATTAAATGCATAATTAAAATTTATTCTAATTATTTTTTTTTTCAAAGAATTGAAATAAGACAAATGTATTTTTAAGAAACGAAGACAATTTTTTTTTTAAATATATTATTTTAATCTTTTCACTAATTATAGACTATATACTATATACGTACAAAAATTTTGTCTATATTGTTTAAAAAAACAAAACACAATGTAATTACGAGTCAAAATTAAAAATAAAATATAGTAATATGAATTTTTGAACATTTTTGATTTTAATTATTA